GATATGCGATGGCCCTCTACAATCAGCACGTCTGCCCTGTTCACAACTGGTAAAACTCACAAACACTACACACCTGTACACAGTCCTAACAGACAGCTCTTCAAGAATCCCTCTCAGCTACAACCACTTCCTGTTTTCAGGTTGTACAACGAGTCGTGTGAGGAGCAGCTCCCTCTGCAGAGAGGACCTGAGCTGTGCTGCAGTCTGGACAACATTCCACTCATCAGGTCGGCTGCTTCACCCTCTCTGTGTGAAATTATTGTTTTTTTTTATATTATTATTATTTCTGTGAATCCATAGATTAGTGAACATCCAACCGTGAAAAGCGATTCATTTTTAAATTAGACATTTTGCATTAATCTGCGCCTTTTTATGTACAATACATTGTTTATACGCTGTTCACTCAGGAAATGGCAGCTTAAATTATGGAAGGGCCCACGATTTTTTTGTTGACACTACCAAAGGGTCACATAGAGGTGTAATAATATTTAGTATATTTATGTATATTTGTTCACATCAATGTCAATTAAATGATTTATGATTCAATTACATCAGGGCAAAATGAAAAAAAAATCATCACACTGAATGAAAAGGGTGCAGAAAGAAGGAAAAAGTCTTATGTCTGCTCCTTATTTAAAAAAATAACTACAAACAAACAAACATCTCCAACTGTCTCCACAGTGAAAACAAACATATGAAGCATTCTTCCAGTTCCATCTCCACCAAACATTACCTGGTAATTCCACAGATGATATTGCATCATGTCAATCGCAGACTTCATATGGTGAAGAATTGTATCATCGTCCAAATAAATCAATATGATACTGGATCGTGATAAATCTGTTGATTTACACCCCTACACATACAGTAGTGCTGCACACTTTCCCAAATGTAATAAAACTGCCATTTTTAAAATGTGTTTATTAAACCAATCTAAAGTGCAGGAACTTAACATATTTCATATTCAAATGCATGCATAACAGTGATACTCTAATAAATATTAATACAAAATGTTTGAAGCAAACAAAAAATAAACATCTACTTTAGCGAGCTGACATAAGACAGCTTGAGTTCAGACTCAGTGGTTCTGGTAAAAACTCTGTGTTGTTTATGTACTTGTGACTTCAGTAAACTYGTCATATTTAGCTTTGTGCAGCGTGTTGTAGACGACGTTTTTATTAAAATCCTTCATGGCAGACRGCGTCTCTAAGCTGGCTAAACACARCTTCTGTGWACWGATACTCTTCCTCCCATTTCACCTGAAACATTAAATTTTATCTGTCCTGTTTACTTCCCGCTGTTCGTAGCCACGGCTAACCGCTTCTTCCTCACCGATAGAGAAGACAGGTCTGTGTTGGAGGCGCCATCTAGTGGCAAACGCTGTCATTACAACCAATTCAGTGCCACCGAGTCACTTGTAGGCGTCTTTGTAATTTTCAAAAAATTTATTTAAAGGGGCAATATCAAATAAAATCGACTTTTTTTGAGTTTTATATCATGTTATAATGTTATACTCTCATTAAAAAAAACATGTCCAAAGCCTTGCTTAGAC